CTGCGTCCCCCTCTCCCGCTGGGTCTCTTCTAGAGCGCACGCGCCTCTGTCGAGCTCGTGTAGCCCAAGTTAGGAGGGCGGCGACTCGAGATGCGATCCAAACACTCGGGGCCCTGGACACTGACCAGCAGGCCCGCGAGCCACGGAGGGCAGCCCCCCGGTGAACGTGCGCTCGGGCGGGCCAGGACGTCACTCCGCAGCCTAATTACAGACACTTGCGTTTCCAGCCTTCGAGTTCGCTGGAGGGGCTGGTGTGTTCTTCCTTTTCTGAGCGGGCGCACGGGGCTCTGAGCCCTCTTGGTTGCGTTTGCAAACCGGCTTCGTGCGTGGAGCCCCGCTCTGTCCTGGGCATGCTGCTTCCAGAAGTGGCCGGCAGGCCTGGTGGTAACATTGCCTTGGCTTTGCCCGAGGTTCCCAGAGCGGCAGGAAGTCTTCCCTGGGGTTTGTATTGACTGAGGCTGAGGTGGGCCTGAGCTACAGGGCAAGCCCCCGCCACCGGGTAGCCTCTCCCAGGCACCAGGGCGCCTGGCTCTAACCGCTAGGCTTCCAGGCCACCTTTGGGAGGAAGCTCCAGGAGGAAGCTGGTATTGGAGGCTACAGGTGACAGACAGACATGGAGAACCCAGAACTGCCTCAGAAGAGGCCTGCAGCAGCTCCTGGTGCCTTGTCTTCCGCTGTGTTCACAAGTCTTTGTTCGCCTCAGCACTCGGTAAAAGGTTCCTCCCTCCCCTGTCTGAGTGTATCAGGGCCTGGGAGGTCCCTCTTCCTACCCAAAGACAGACGAGGTCACAGCTCAGTCCTGCTGCGGACGACAGGCCTCACGCCCACCTGCCCCGCCCGGGGCACCGCACGCACTATCAATATCCCGCCTCACGGCTACAGAAAGAAGGTGGTGAGAGCGCTGGGCTTTGAGTTGGACAAATCAAGATGATGACTTTGGACTAAGCCCTGAGAATCTCTGTCTCAGTAAATCCATGTCTGGAAATAGCATGCCCACTAGGCTGTGGCATAGATGCAGTAGGGTAGAGCCAAGAGGAGACCCGGTGTCGGGGGCCAGCCCTGTGGCGCAGCAGGTAAAGCCATCGCCTGCATGCCAGCATCCCACGTGGGTGAGTCCTGAGTGCTCCACTTCCAATCCAGCTCCCTGTACCTGGGAGAGCAGCAGAAGATGGCTCAAGTCCCTGGGACACTGCACCTGCGTGGGAACCTGGAAGAAACTCCTGGCTCCTGGTTTCGGATCGGCACAGCTCCAGCCATTGCAGCCATTTGGGGAGTAAACCAGCGGATGGAAGACCTCTCTCTCTCTCTCTCTCTCTCTCTCTCTCTCTCTCTTCCTCTGCCTTTCAAATAAATAAACGAGTCTTTAAAAAATAAACAAACAGAAAAAGAAGTGACAGGGGCCGGCATTCTGGCACAACAGGTGCCAGTTGGAGTCCTGGCTGCTCCACTTCCAAGTCAGCTCCCTGCTATTGCACCTGGGAAAGCAGCGGAGGATGGTCCAAATATTGGACCCCTGCCAACCACATCGGAGACCCGGATGGTGGATGGCATTCCAGGCTCCTGGCTTTGGCCTGGCCCAGCCCCGGTTGTGGATGGCCATTTGGGAGAGTAAACCAGCAGATGGAAGATCTCTCTCTCTCTCTCTCCCTTTCTGTCTCTCCCTCTTTCTATATATGGTCAGAGAAGGGGAGATATGGAAGAGAAAGAGATAGAAGAGATAGGAGGCCGGCGCCGTGGCCCAACAGGCTAATCCTCCACCTTGCGGCGCCAGCACACTGGGTTCTAGTCCCGGTTGGGGCGCCGGATTCTGTCCTGGTTGCCCCTCTTCCAGGCCAGCTCTCTGCTGTGGCCAGGGAGTGCAGTGGAGGATGGCCCAGGTGCTTGGGCCCTGCACCCCATGGGAGACCAGGAGAAGCACCTGGCTCCTGCCATCGGATCAGCGCGGTGTGCCGGCTGCAGCGCGCTGGCGGCAGCGCGCCAGTGGCGGCCATTGGAGGGTGAACCAATGGCAAAAAGAAGACCTTTCTCTCTGTCTCTCTCTCTCACTGTCCACTCTGCCTGTCAAAAATAAAAAAAAATAAATTTAAAAAAAGAAGAGATAGGAGCTAGTTCAGAAAAACTTCGAGATCCAAGAGTTTCTGTGCATGAATTTAGAGTCCCACAGTCTACAAAGCAATCCCCTGGTGTGACAGTTTGGAAAGAGGACCTCAGCCAGAGCCCAGAGCCAAGGCGAGAACAGCAGCAGCTGAGCTGTTGGAGCAGCCGGCCCCGGAGGGGCCCAGGCCTGCACCCCCCTCTGCTTCTTCCTCGCCTCCACGTGGCTGTCTTGCCAGAGAGCTGGGCTGAGGACAGTGCCCGAGGGAGCGGATGGCCCAGAAGAGAGGAAAAATCCAGAAGTAGCTGCCGCCAGGAGAGCCGTAAAAATGCTTTTAACTTGAGAACTGGCCTGGGGAGGGCTTGCACAGCAGACGCGGGAAGCGGGAAGTGACGTGCGCAGAGCGTGCCTGCTGTGTGCCAGTCAGCTTGCAGCTTCCTCTCCGTCCCACACTGGGGAAAATCGTGGCAGAGAAACCCACTGTGTAAGGGTCTCAGGGGTCTCTTCTGAGCATCTGTGGAAGGCAGGGGGTGGTAAGCACCAACTGTTGTATCCGGTGACAGCCCTTCTTCTCAACCCGGGGTCTCGGGGACAAAGGAAAAGTGTGGGACAACTCCTGGGTCAGCCGGGTCCTTGGAGCTTTGAACTTTGATCATTTCGGCTGCCCTCACTGAGGCCTCCATGTGCTTGGCCACCTTGCGACGCGTGCGCTCATTTCCGCGGATCCCTGGCGCAGGCTGGAGCGGGCGAGCCTGCAGGTGGCAGTTGGCAGCCACTCACTGGAGGCCACCGGTCCCCAGGCAGCCGCGGTGGGGCGGAACCTGCTGCCCCAGGAGAGCTGAGGGCCCAGGGACTGGGAGATTGGGGCCCCGGCTTTCCTGAGCAAGCTCTGGGAGATAGGGCCCAATCAGCCCTGATCCCTCTCTCAGTCCTTGGCCTGTGGCCTCAGTGGACTAAAGCCAAAACCACCAGCAGAGTTTCACATCCTGCTGCAGATCCGCGGTGAGGCCGACGCCAACCGAGGGGTCTGATCCCAAATGCCTCGGGAGCCCGCACGCGGTTCCTCGGGCAACGCAAGGCTCTGTGCTGAGGAAAGGAGCCCTGCCCGATAGGAAGTCGGCGATCGGGCTCTCATGCTTCGCTCCTTGTCCAATGTGAAGCCCTCATTGTCCGTCCCGTCCTCAGCTGTGGGCCCCTAACAAAGGAGAACTGTTCAGATGGCTGCAAATCCCAGCTGGGCTTGGAGCTTCCGACTCTGCTTTCAAGTACAGAGCTAAATGAAAGGCGACGTTTGCACCACGCAACGTGCCGGGGGCCGGGGGCCGGGGGCCGGGGCGGGGAGTGCGGCAGCAGCATCACCCCGGCGCCTCCCCGCCCGCCCCTGGTTCCGGCCCCATGGCCCAGGCGTCTGGCATTCGGAGGAATGACGCTATTCCGAGTTACCATCCGGGCTCCTGGTTTTGCTCATGGAAAACTCTTCTGTGCGTGCCCTTCTCACTCCTGCCTGCCAAGGTGAACCCCACTCGGCTGGGATCCTAGGGAATGCATGGAGCCACTGAGAGCCACAGCCTCGGGCAGCTCTTATTTCTAGAAGGCCTGTTGTGCGTGCGCTGTTTTCTGTATAATTCATTCGGAGCTTCCGTGCAGGCCGTCCCAGCCTTCGAAGGGCATCTTAGGAGTCAAGCAGAGCAAGATTTAAAACCCAGCTCTTCCACCACTGGCTGTGTGTGCTGGGAAAGCCCCTCAGCCTCTCTGAGCCTTGGGTTCCTCATCTGTAAATGGGCAGGACAGCAGCAAAGAGCTGTTTGAACATTAAGTTAGATCCGCCATGCAAAGCCCCAGGTGCTCTATAGAGGATACTCACAAAGATTTATTTGCTTATTTGAAAAGCAGAGTTGGCTGGTGCCGCGGCTCAACAGGCTAATCCTCCGCCTGTGGCGCTGGCACACCAGGTTCTAGTCCCGGTCGGGGCGCCGGATTCTGTC